ACACTGCTAAATTAGGGACAAATAGCGCAGATAGCCCTCGTGTAGCTTTGCACGAAATTCAAAACAAACAAACCCTTTCATTATGCCACTGGCTAGTATCTTCTCTGTATGCAATACAAATGGATGCAACCATAAAATGCTTCAATTTTTTTCTCTTTTTAATGAACGGCAAGCTGAGACACTGAAAGAGACTCCATAAAAAGTTTTTCAGTAAACGAGTAAGGGCTAATAAGTATTCTCATCAATATACGTATTGCAGATCTTGACGACGTGTTTGCTACTTGCACTTATGTATCTTATATTTAGAGTAAGATCATATGATATATTTATAGTGAGTAACTATAATGTTTATTTTGTTTTCTGGAACAAATAACTGATATTATATAACATGTTTATTGAAAGAAAAATGAATCATTGTAGATAAATGTTCTTGTTGCACATTCAATTTTTCTTCTTGGTGTGAGACGATCAGTTAAGCCTCTTTTGTGTTACATTTTTTTTACTTCAAATATTTTATAGTTGCAATAGAAACCAAAATCGTATATTACATTGTGACTCATAAATCTTAAGTAAGGAAAAACGTTTATATTAATTTTTATTTTTAAATTACTTGTAAATTTTCCTGAAACGTGCCTACTGTGTACACTGCGAGAGAAGCAAATAACAAGCATTCACTTGGAGACGGCTAGTTGGGTTATCTCAAAGAATAAAGACATCAGTTAGAGAGTGTTTTATGCATTTCTTTCTACAGTTTCTTAAACACTAGAGTTAAGTTTTAGTATAGCTTTTAGTGCCAGCAAATTTAAATGTTTAAGATACTGACTGTTCAGTATTGTTACAATTGTCTACTTACCTCATGGTAATTTTTTCTGTATTGAAACATTAGCAATAGTGTAAAAGTTGTGTTTGAAGATACTTCAGAATTACCAGATTTATCAGATCCCAGTAGCTCTAAAAATGGATAATTTATTATAATCATAATTTCAATTGGTGAATGCAAAAATTCAAGTATGCTTGAACAACAACAACAAAAAAAAAAATATATAGGGTGTTTAACAAGTCTGGAACCACAGGTATTTCAACGAATTTTACAGAATGTGTTCCATATGTTGTCTTTGTAATTTGAAACAAGCTTGAAGACTTCTATTCTCTGTGAACACTAACAAGCATATTAGTAACATTGTCAATGGTCCAACACTGTCAGTCTCCTTAAATTTGGCAGCAATCTTCCACTGGGACCACACAGCAGGATTAACTCTATCTTCTCGTGCGCTTTGACAGTGCCATAATCAGTCATGTTTCTGAACTTAAGAGAAGCTGCAAAGCAATTATAGTTCCAGACTTTTTGGACACCCTGTACAAGATACATTTTGACATCTAGTAGTACTAATTTACTTCAGTCTGTGCAGTGGTTTATGAATAAAAAGATGTCTTACTCTTTTGTAATACTTTTTTTATATCTTGTTGATGGTTTTCATTCATTGCTGTTTTATCAAGGGCTAACTTTTATAAAATCCTGTGGTTTACGTAGCATCTTGGAACTGACTTTTAAATACCAAATGCTGGTTAGTACAAACATTAAGGAATGTAGAATAATTACAAATCTAAACCACAATTTTTTTTCCCCTCTTGTAAGGGCTTGAAATACCATGAAATCTTTCCAACTGTTCCTTCAGTTCTCTTTAAAAAAAAAAGAGATAATATCCCTTGTACAGTTAGTTTCTAAGTTGAAAATGAAAATATATTCCAATACATGTTTCTGTATCTACACAAAAACTACCAGAAGTCTAGCTGCCAACCCTTCTAGCATAAATAAAGTTGGGGTTTAAAACAAATAAAGGTAATTGATTTTGCAAGAACATTCGTGTTTTTTTTTTTTAATTTAAGGAGTTCTACTAAAGAGAGTTGTGAGTCTCAAAAATAAAAGCCCCCCAAGTGGGACAGCGGTATGTCTGCGGACTGACAACTCTAAAAAACGGGTTTCGATACCCGTGGTGGGCAGAGCACAGATAGCTCATTGTGTAGATTTGTGCTTAACTTAAAACAAACAAAAATTTCATCTGGTATTGAACTATTAAGTCAATGATGGATTGGAACAGTTACACCAATGTAATGGTTAACACTACATCTTGTGAGTGTTGAAACTTGTAATTATAAATAAAATCACAACATTAAAAAAAGATGTTTCAAAAATATGACGAGTTTATGCAACTGGAATGCTCTTTAAAAAATGAATTGCAGGCTCTTAATATAATACAGAAGTAATATGTTTGTTTTATTTTTTACATTATTTGTTGTGCCCTTAGGAATGATTCCAATGAATAGTCAAATCCATATGGTAATGCTCACACAGTATTATAAGTTTTAAACAATAAATGATTATGTATTTGTTTTGAGGCCTGATATTGTTGTCAGTGACATGTTGCCTATGAAACAGTACCTTTTAATTTAATTTATAGTGAAGATTAATTTATTATTTTAGGAAGTGCTGATATAAATAACCAGGTGTATGGATATATTTAATTGTGCTCTAGAGTAATCGGATAATAACAGAAAACATTTTTTTACGTGGAGAAATTACAGTTATGTGTGAGTGTTAACACATTTTATTTTTATCAGTACGTCACCTCTTACAAGTAATATGATATATATATATATAGCTGTAAACACTTCTGAAAGGTATGGTTTGTTACTTAAAGTTAGGAATACGCATGTTGCAGAATATGTCGGTAATCAAGTAAGAATGAATGTGTACATAGTTTAAAATGAAAAGTGTGAAGTGTCTGGTAAACTCTGTAACCAGTGCTGTAAAAGAAATAAAGATGATAATGTCCTGAATGTGATCACAGTAGTAGTGATGAACAAAAACTAGCATGTGTCATTCAGTCATAAAGAGTTTTGTTTTTAAATCGGATTTTAAGGTTTTTATGCGGAGTCAATACGTACGCACGTGTACTCAGGTTAAAAAAAAAGTTTCCTTAACAGAAGTTTGTAGTTTTAACAAGTTAGAAATGTCCTAGAAGAAATATTTTTCTTTAGACTTAACATCAAAATCTGTAATGTTTTCTAAAATTTGATTTTTTTTTTTTTACACTCGATGAATATCTTATCCCACAAATTTTTAAAACCCCAACCACAAACGTCACCATAAATACCCTTTTAATATTCATCATAACTCATCCATAGAAATGCCATGTACAC